TTTCGGTAAGGGGTGGTGAGCAACTGAGGGAAAATTGAGGGTTGACTAATCTATGGCCTGTAACTAAGCAATGGAACTATTGCAATTGACAACTTNTGCATCTTAAGCTAGTAGGAAATCTGCTAAATCTCTTTCTCCATCATCATGGCTACCACATTTAGTACAGTACTGTACATTTAGTGTGCAATAGGTGTACAGTAACTCCAGTTATCCGCAAAGACCGCGTACACTATATGAAAGACAAATCAACAGGGCAAAGAAAAAGTATAACAGAGCTAATGTACTATATTGTGCATGAATTTATTTAAAAAGATCCATAAGCATAATCTAGACAGTTGTAGCATCGTCAGACGCGTAAAAATCACACAACGCATGCATTCACATTCTAAATTTATCTCCAGTTAGTAGCTAGTACATATCCGTGGGCTGTACTCCTAGTAAACAGCTTGATATATTTAAAACGCAATATTTAGGACTTTTTAAATGATCGTTTATTGGAATATTATCAGATTATAGTTTACATATTTAATAAAGGCAAGGTACAGACCGCATAAAATGAGGTATATCTTTAATTGACATCTATCTTACTTCATGACCAGCTATACCTACATTTTTTTATGGATAGGGTCACATTATTAATAGGATTGGGTAACGTTCAATGTAGATATTGCACAAGCTATAGCTTCTACTCAATACTAATCTATCTTCTTTAATTGCTAGATGATATTATATGACATCTTTTCATTATATGGGCTCAAGGTTAATTCCGCCAATTATTTGCAACTTTAATAAAGCCCACTTGGGTAATATAATACTCCTTCCTGTGTACACGTCCTAAAAAAGAAATAAAAAAGTTTATCAATAAATACGCTATATTAACTATATATACAATAATCCTGACCGTAGTTATTGTTATTGTTAGGCAAGTATAGCTAATAATATATTATTATTAACGACTAGAATACTGCTGGGTCTTGTGCATTATAATATTTTTAGAACGACATGATTAAACTGCATCTAATAGTAACTCGCGACAAGTAGAGTACGCGCGAAAC